GGGGGGGGAAAAAAGAAAAAAACAAAAAAAAAAAAAAAAAAAAAAAAAAAAAAAAAAATCGATGTAAAAAACCACTCCAACCACTTCATGATTTAGGCAACAGAACCGTGAATTTTCCACACTGGAAATGGAGACCAAGATGGGAGACATCTCATGTGGGTAAATTCTACCAAAAAGACTCTTAAATGAGGAAGAAAGGCACCTATGTACATAGTAAGGGCATTACATCCACCATTCTACTCAATAAACTTATAAAAGATGAACCATGAAGTTTTATGCTCCTCTCATGATAACATGTCTTAGGTGCAACAGGAACTCAGTGCTTATAGAAACCTTATTTGTACAGCAGAGCAGTGAACTGGTGCCATGTCTTTGTCAAAGTTAAAGCATTTTCAAAGGCAGCTATGACAGACTGTACTGGGGTTGTCTCCAGCTTCTAATTCCATGCTGCAGTTCTGTCCATTTTCCACATAACAAACTTATGTGGAAAGATGAACGGGATAGAGACGTCCAAGAGAGTTGAAAGTGAAGCTCAAATACAGACCAAATTCTCTTCATTTGGGAAAGGTAACGCAGATGAGATGGCAGCCTCTGTATTCAGGCAAGACTGTGACTGTTCACTTAGAATTTATCCTGATTCTGCCTGGACAAAGAGACTACATGTTCTCTGCTTTTTGAACTTCAACTGCAGGCCAAATGGTTATAACTCAGGAAGGAATGCTACACATGGCAAAGTCCTTAACAATGCCACACAGGAGCTACAGGAAAATAAAAGATGAGCTTTGATGGAGATTCTAGAACCATGCTGAGTGTCTATGATTATAGGTTCATTTGCTATTCACCATTTTATGCTAGCAAATACATTACAACAAATTAAATATAAATTAATGTATTAATTTTTCCCCCCAAAAGGGCTATGTAGTTTTATATGGTATTACCTGTATTATCGCCACTGCCTTTGACATAGTAGCCTTTTAATCCCAAGTGGTACAATTTTCGATCCCTGTGAAGCAAATTACATAATCCATATTAGAATAAGTTGAATTATAAACCTGTAGAGAAAAAAGGCGGAACAATGCACAGATTAGAGGTTAAGATTAGAACAAAAAGGTTAAGAAACAGAAAAACAACCTGGAAATACATTTCTATAACAGAGGAAACCAAATGTTTTCCATGGACTTGTAAAGTATAAGCAACGTAGCAGTTCCTTACACATGCTAGCACTTCTGGGTACTGGAGGAAGACTGATATTTTTTATTATACATAAACAATGAAGTATTTTCTAAATTTTCTTGTAACACTTGAGTATATCTTAATAGTAGAAGATTTAGCTTACCCACATATAAAGCTCCACGCATACCTTAGACTATTTGCAAACATAGGGACTACCTACTATCCAGCTGACCAAGTGTCCATGGTCTATGCAAAGGTAGTATGAACAATGAAGTTCTTATTATTAAACGTTTCTTTTGGATGTCTACTTCCAATTTTTTTCTTTAACTACTATGATTGGAAATTTCCTTACTAAAAAAATCCTAACAGAACACTTATAAGATTTTTCTATCAGTATTGTTTTATGCATAAGTTTGACAAAATAAACTCCACTGTAACTATAAACTTGTGAGCTGTAAATACTACCTCCCCTTGCCCCTTTTCTTTGATATGGCCTCACCATGCAGCCACGGCTGGACTTGAACTTGAAGTCTTCCTGCTTCAGTATCCTAAATGCTAGCATTATAGGCATGAACCACCATGGCTCTAACACTAAATTTCTGATGGACTTTAATAAATTTCACAAAATAAAATTCTTGTGTACTTTATCTATTTACTATCCTCCTGCTTCTGAAGGGATACTTTAGACAACATAAAGTGGACAAAGACTCCCACAGAGAACAGGGAGGGGATGAAGGGCAAATGTGCTTTGGCAACATCTACTAGCTCCGCTATCCACCAAGAACAGAGTCACTGTGGATAAGAGAGGGAGTGGGAGTCATATACAGGCATCAGTGTTTCGTCCATCAGCACTTAAGAATACGGGACACTAAGGTATCAGATGGAGAGGTCCAGTGGGATTGTCATTCTGGTTACACTGGGAAAATAAGGAAATAGATTGAGGAAGATAGTCAAGCTTTTCCTTGGTGAGGGAGGTTACTTAAGAACATAGTGTATATAAGACATCTTCTGACAGCCGGGAAGGCAACAAAGAATTCCAAGGAATTAAGCAAGTATAAAAGAAGCTTAAATGAATCAGCTGTGGTGGCACATGCCTTTAATCCCAGCACTTGGGAGGCAGAGGCAGGCGGATCTCTGAGATTGAGGCCAGCCAGTCTCAAAAACACCAAAGTAAAACAAAACAAAACAAAAAACACCACAACAAAAACAAACTTAAATGAATATATGCATGCAAATTTGTGTATTACAATACGTATAAATACTGCTGTCTCCTGGGAGGGTGTAGAAACAGAAATACAATGAGCACACAACTTTTGCAGCTTTTGGTTTTGTTTTTTTTTAAGCTTTTGGGTTTTAAGTACTGTAATGGCTAGTTTTAACTGTCAATGGCTAGTTTTGACATGATCTAGAATCAGCTGGGAAAAGGGCCTCTGAGAATATCTGTGAGGGATTATCTTAATTACATTAATTAATGTGGAAAACACATGCCTACTGTGGGTGGCACCCTTCCCTAGTGTGGGAATTCTGGCAGGTGTAAGTGTAGAAAGGGGGTTGAACACTTGCATGCATGCATTAACTGCTCTTTTTTTTCTGACTGTGGACTTAATGTGACCAGCTCGTTCAACTCCTGCCATTGTGACTTTCTTGCCATGATGGATGACAGCCTGGAACTGTGAGCTCAAATAAGTCCTTTCTCCTTTAAGACAAGGTCTCACTGTGCAGCCCTGGCTGGCCTAAAACTCACTAGGTAGACCAGATCCACCTGCTTCTGCCTTCTGGATTCAAAAGTATTTTTATCACAGCAATGGAAAAGAAACTGAGGTAAGCTTCCACTAAAAGAATGAAGCTACCTTGGAGAATAGAAGCCAATGAACTGAAAATATAGTCTGAGTTATCTTGTTGTATCAAGGGAATGTGAGATACAGCACACAGTCAAGAAGAGCCACCCTGAAGGGGCTCCCACTGGCAAGAGTAAAGACTATGAAAAGCAAAACCAAACAGCAATGAAATACAACTCTTTTTTTCTTTTTCTTTTTTTTAATGGGGCTTTTTGCTACTCTAGCATTCCCCCTTCTGAAGAGGTAACCCTAAAATCTTTTAGGGATTAGATAAAAGCTCCCAAATACTTTTGACAGTTTTGGCCTTGGAACAGAGTATGTTGCTGAGAGGCCTAAGGATATGACTTTTAGCCAAGAAACTGGGTACTTTTCTTTGGAGTCTTTTTACCCTTAACTGCCTAGCCAATTCCTACTTCCTATTATTATCACACCAACTGCCTAGCGATGAAAGCTCCCAAATATTTTCAACATTTTTGGCCTTTGGAACAGAGTATGTTGCTGAGAGGCCTAAGGACATGACTTTTAGCCAAGAAACTGGGTACTTTTCTTTGGGGTCTTTTTACCCTTAACTGCCTAGCCAATTCCTACTTCCTATTCTTATCACACCATCCTCTGAAGAATCTCTGAAGAGTTGGATACAACTCTTAAGAAACTTTATAACAAAAAACGGTAACCCTATCATTTTGGCATAGCCTATGTTTTATTCGAAGCACACAAGATTTTTTTTTTTTTTTCTGGTTTTCAACCAGCTGTGGGAACATTAGAATTTTATTTAGCCCAAACTCAGTTATAATAATATTCACCTGCATTAGTTTTTTATTGCTTTTGTGACAAATTATTCAAGTTTCATGGCTGAAAAATGATACTGACTTATCATCTTCTAGAGATTATCAGTTGTAGAAATAATTCCAAAATAGGTCTCACTGGGCTAAGTCAGGGTGTTGCAGGGTGGTATTCCTTTGGATACACCCAAATAAGCATAATCTTCATTTTTAAACTTTATTATTTTTATTTCATGTGTATGAGTGTATTGTCTGCATGTATATAAGTGCACCCAAAGAGGGCATCAGATTCCCCTAGAACTGGAGTTATGGAAAGTTGTTTGCCACCATGTGGGTGCTGAGAACTGAACCTGGAACCTCTGCGAGAGCTGCCAGTGCTCTTAACTGCTGAGCTGTCTCTCCAGTCCTATAATCTACATTTTTTTGGGGGGGGTCTTTTGGAGACAGGGTCTCCCTGTAGTCCCTGCTGGCCTGGAACTCACTATGTAGACCAGGCTGGCCTCGAACTCACAAGCCTCCCAAGTGCTGGGACTAAAGGTGTGGACTACCACACCTGGATAATCTCCGTATTTTAAGATGAACTGATTATCAAACTTAATTCCATCTTTAACTTAATTCCCTTTTGGCACTGTGCTGGATAACTTTAGTGTCAACTTGACACACTTGGGTTGAGGAAGCCTCAACTGGGGAAATGCTTTCATAGGACTGGCCTGTGGCCATGGCTGTGGGGCATCTGTTCGATTGTTGAGTGATGTGGGAGGGCCCAGCCCACTGTGGGTGGTGCCATCCCTGGGCAGGTGGGCCTGTGTTGCATAAGAAAGCAGGCTGAGCAGGGGCCAGGGGAACAAGCCAGTAAGCAGTGTTCCTGCATGGTTTGTGCTCCAGCTCCTGATTCCAGGTTCTTGTCCTGAGTTCCTACCTTGGGCTTCCTGCTGAACTGTGACCCGGGAGATGTAAGCTAAATAAAGCCTTTCCTCTCCAAGTTAGTATTGGTCAGAGTATTTTGTCACAGCAATGAAGAAACAAACTAGGACAGGCATGGAACATAATATACTCATGGGTTATGGGACTGATGCATTGACATTTAGGGGGCATCATCATCCCACTATCATACCATCACATTGACGTGTGAGAACTAGATAATGGCTTTTCTAGCTTCCCTGCATACCCTCTCCTTTAACCATCGAAGCTTTGCTACTAATAAATCTCATCCGTGACCTATATATACTACAATGGCATCTGCTTCTTAACACAACTAGATGTATCAACCCTAAGGGATCCACATTCCCAAGAATTACAGAGTCAGAACTGAGAGAAACATGGCTAAGGATGTGGCTTGAAGGTACAGCACTTGCATAGTGATCACAAGCCTTAGATTCAATTCCATATGTTGCAAAAATACAAGAGGAGGAGAGGAGGCAGAAGAGGCAGGAGTCTTCTAACCTCTGTTTCAAATGTAGAGCGAAGAGTTAACTTGCCCAAGGTCTACAGCTGACAATAAACATAGCTAATCCAAGAAACACATTTTTTACATCCAGTGTAAGTACTTTATATCTGACAGAACACAAAATACTTTTTCATACTATCACAGAGCCACTGCACTGATTATTTGAAAGATCTTCATAATTTTTAAATTATATTTTCTTCCTACAATGTACAGGAACTTGAAGTGCATCTTAGAATATTACTATTTCTCTATACTGAAATACTATCCTTTGAAACAAAATATTGGTTACATTATGCTCTTTCCTATCTTTTAAGGAGAGATTCTGCAACCTTGTCATTTCATGGAAAAATCAGATCTTAACCACCAATAAGGCATCTGGTATAACCATCGTAAATTCAGGGCCGTCTACAGTCTACAACATCCCACAGGTTCTGGCCCTGCCTAATTCAGTATGTTTCTTTCCCAGTCATTTTGTTCAGTTTCACACTTTCTTTAACAGGCTGTACAGAGTTCAGCTTGCTAGGAATGCTTCCTTCCATTCAAACTTCTCCCATTTATTTCTTCAAACCTCTTCCCAAGGCTATTTCTCCAAAGAAACCTTTGTGATCCTTAGAGAAAGGTTATGTCCGTAGCAGTAGAGTGGGAGCTGCAAAAACAATCTGCCCGCAAGCAGCCTCAGGACTTTTTAAGAGACAGCCACTCAGGTGAAGCCAGAATTCTCGACTTTATAGCAAGAAATATTCTTAGGAAGCAGAGTTGCAGTTTAGGAGATAGTTTGAACATAAAATGAAGCATAAAAGGTAAAAACAGAGGAGCGCTTATGAAAGAGTCCACATGGGTACAGGCCTTGTGTGTCTTAATAGTAGGCATATATACAATTTGGTGGTCTCTGAAGTAATATCTCAATAGGTTGCTAAGAAACTCAAATGAGATTACAGAGCAGCTCCAGAAGACTGACAGGATTATAACTGGTAAGGTAAAACCCTAGGTAACAAGCAAGGGTTGTATAGGAAGTTAAGATATTTTTACTGTAAACAAAAGTCTTGTGAGATTCCTAGAAAATTTCAAGTTTACATCTAGGAAATGAGTAAGGCCATAAATACTTAGGTCTTCAACATAGCTCACTGCTATTTTAACGTTCTTTTACTTATTTGTGTGTGTGTGTGTGTGGGCACACATGTGCCATGGATGGATGGCTTGGTGGCAAGCACCTTTACCTGCTGAGCCATCTTGTCTCCCTATTTTAATTGTTAATATTTTTTGGCTTTTTGAGAAAGGGTTTCCCTGAAGTCCCAGCTGGCCTGCACCTCATATGTAGACTAGGCTGGCCTTGCTCTCATGGTGGTCTGCCTGCCTCTGCCTCCCCACTGCTGGGATTAAAGGTGAGCATCATCACACCTGGCCACACAAGGCCCTATCTGAAGGTTCTTATCTCAGATGTTGCTGTAGTAAAGGCATATTGTCTCCATGTAAACAATCTTCACAGTAGATTTTATTAACCACGTGAGAATTCTTGACTCTCAGCTGACAAAAGACCTCACTCAGACTCGGGAGAAGTTCCATTCCCTTCCCAGGGCCCCACGGTTTTCGTTGTCTTTCTATCCTGTCACAGATCATTACCAAAGCACTACAGAGTACTCTCCATAACTGTAATCCAGGAACTGTGTAACAAGCTATCTTAATGCAGTAGCGATCTCCTTTGCTAGAAAGTAAACTCAGTGAAGACTGTTTCCATCTTATACATCATTGCCTACTAGCTTACCTGATTCCTAGGGGCACAAAACGCTTCCTGAATAAATGCATGCTCGATTACAACAGGAATGGTATTTTTTACATTATATTTAACATGGCCTTTCTTTTGAGATTAATTTTCAGATTTCTTCCTAAAAACACACAATCAAAAGAAATTCCTCTAAACTTAAATTCTACTACATTAAACTATAAAAACCACTTTCACAAAGATCTGGACGTAACAGGAAGCATGTGAGATTGGGGTAAATACACATTTTCTAGACATAATTCACACAATATTAGACGTTCCAGCTTGCGCATTTGGTTTGGGAAGATTTTAAAGTCTGAAAAGAAATGCTCTGCATAACGTTACTCAATTTTGAACCTTCACTACCTTCACCGTATTTGTCACACCTATTACACACCTCATTCACCCTCATCTTATTTTTTCCTTACATGGGGTCTTGCTAGGTATAGGTCAGGCTGGTCTCGAACTTCCAATCCTTCTCCCTCAGCCGCCTAAGTGCTAAGATTACAGGCGCTCGCCACCACACCGGACTCATTTAATTTTGAGATCTCTCCTTATTTACAAGCACGAAATAACATGTATATCAGCTACCGCATTTTTTCATCAAAATTAGAATGAATCTTCCACTTAATAGTGCAGTGGGTGGCCATTCCGTGACGCCTGAGGGCTTCCGAGTTCCTTAACCATCACTTGCCCAGCGTAGCTAAGGTGTGGGAAGAAAGGCAGTCTGCAGCTCCGGGAGCATTCCGGGAAAGGTACCAGGCAGGCGCGTCGCTACTCACTCCACAAAAGCCCTGGAGCAGAGGCACTGGATCCTGCAGTCCTCCTCGTGGTCTGCGACGAAGAGCACCATCTCGGCCACGTGGTTCCACTTCTCGCAGCACATTTTGTCTCCCCGAGGCCGCTCCGGCGTCCGCAGCCGCTCTGTGCCTCTTCCGGGCGAGTGGAGACCCGGAGGCCTGCCAGCCACACGAGACTAGGAACTCGCCCCGGAACACTGGAGCCCGGGCCCGCCAGGCGCGCCACCGGAAGAGGCTGCGGCGAACACCGGAAGGGGCAGGGCGGTGTTACCCTCCCAGCGCCCGGGCGACTTCCTCATAGAGCTCAGCGGAAAGCGGCTGTGCCTGAGGTTCCCGTCTGTCTGCAGTCCAGCCGCGGGAGCTGGCGACGTCTTGACCCGCCGCCCAGTTCCTTCCGCGCCAGGTGCGTCGGGCCCATTTCGACCTCCCCTGCGTACGGAGCGTTGGCAGCTCCAGGTCCCCGTGGCCTCTGCGCGGCCTGGCCAGGCTCTCCGCCCGCCGCAGGTCCCGAACCTCCGCCCCGCCGCGCTTTCCTAGCTGGTGAGGCGAGGGTCTCGCCGGCCCAGTGACCTCCCAGCCCTGAGGGTCCTCGGATGGAAGCGGGAGGGAGGTGTGGGATGCTGGGACGGGCCATGGCGCTGTCTGGGCGTCCTGCCTGTATCCCTGTGACCTGACAAGTGACAGCCTCTTGGAACGGCATCTGGATCATCTGTAAAATGGGGGTGGAACAGCCGTAACCACCCGATGGGGCAGAAAGGACCAAAGGAAGCCATCAAACCTTTCGTGGTCCTCTTAAATAGTTTGAGTCGTTACAGACCTTGTAGACGCCACGCTGTCTCGGTGGCCGCGTTTTTCTGCCTGTAAAACAGGTTCAAGCTACTAACTAGTTAGAAAAAAATATACACGTGCTCGTAAGTAGGATGTAAAAAACTGTAACCCCATTGCTATATTGGAATAAAGGCGTGTAATGTTCCTTGAGACTGGCCAGGTTACTACTAACTAGTTAGAAAAAAATATACACGTGCACGTAAGTAGGATGTAAAAAACTGTAACCGCATTGCTATATTGGAATAAAGGCGTGTAATGTTCCTTGAGACTGGCCAGGTTGCTTCCTAAAAAGCTAAGCAAGTTTAGACTTGACAGTTGTTGCATCATTGAGGACTTACTTAACTTAATTTGTACTCTTAGTACTGAAATGTCATTGTTACTTTCTAAAGGTTATATAAGAACCCGAGTTAAAATTCAGACATTTAGAATGCTTATTTGTATTGGACCACATTTATGAGTGGATGGAAATAACTTAAATTTCAAAGAAAATGCTTATTCCTATATCCTTACTGCTGCTGTACTTTGAGGCAAAAGATGTGCTGAATTTAGGCATTTAATGAGACAAGAGTACTGCAGTTGCAGATACATCCATTTAAGTATGTATTATAATATTGGGATGAGTGACTAGGCGAAGGTGGGGCTTCAGTGGGCAAAGCTACTTGCCCACCAAGCCTGATGACCTGAATTTGATCCCTAGACCCCACAGGATAGAAGGATAACTGACTCCTGCTGTTGTCCTCTGACCTCCACAGGAATGCATTATGCCATGGCACGTGCTTCTCTGTACACACACACACACACACACACAGACATGCACACATGATAATGTAATTTTAAAAAAGCTTTATGCCTAGTATTGTACATATTCATGGGGTACAGGGTGGCATTTCAATGCATGTGTACAGTGAGTATTCATGATTAGACTAGAGGAAGTGATACATCTGCCATCTCAGATATATCATTTCTTTGTGTTGGGAACACCCATAATGTTCTCGTAGCTATTAGAAATACTCAGTTTTTGTCAACCATAGTTTTCCTACTGTGCTTTGGCATGGTGAAAGTGAATTCCTCCTTGTTGGCTGTGTCTGTGCCCTCTGCATCCTCCCTTCCCCTGCGTTCTTCCCGAGCTCTGGTAGCCACAGTCTTCTATGTCTTTTTTTAAGTAGTTCTTAAATTTGTATTTGTACAAGTGTTTTGATTGCTAGTATGTTTACTGGTATGCATGTAGTGCTCGTGAAGGCCACAAGAGGGTGACAGAGTTGCCATCTGGGTGCTGGGAGTCAAACCTGGGTCCTCTGGAACAACAGCAAGTGCTCTTAACCCCTGAGCTGCCTCTTCAGCCCCTTTTCTATGTCCTTGACATAAACTAACTTCCACTAGTTAGGGGCTCCTAGGTTGGTTCCATATCCCGGCTGTTGTGAACAGTGGCTGCAGTAAATGTTGCTTTGCAGATGCCTCTTCAACACACACCTTTCATTTCTTTTGGATATTTACCCAGTAGCAGGGTTTTGGTTCTATTTTTAGTTTCTCCCAGGAAACTTCATATTGTTTCTGTGATGGCTGTACTAATTAACATTTCCACCAACACTACACAAGAGTTTCCTTTAGTCTGCATTCTCACTGGCTTTTATTATTCTTGTTTGTTTTGATGCCAGATCCTCAGGCACCTAAGCAAACCTCTAATACACTTAGCACATGCCACATACCACTTACATCCCAACCCAGCTTTTTTTTTTTTTTAATCTTTTGCTAATAGGCATTCTAAAGAAAATGAGATGATAATGTGGTTTTTATCCTTTTTTGTGATTATTTTGGTGATTTTATCAGTTACTGTCTTGTTGCTGTAATAAAATACTTGACAAAAGCAACTTTAAGGAAGGGTTTATTTTGGCTTACAGTTTGAGGGTACAGCCCATCAGTGCAGGAAAGCCATGGTTGAAGGAGCTTGTGGCTGCAGGTCACATGGCATCCATAGTCAGGAAGCGGAGAGCTGTGAAAGCTGCTACTCAGCTCCCTTTCTCCTTTGCCCTGGACCCCAGCCTATAGAACAGTGCCACCCACATTTAGGGTGAGTCTAACCACCTCAGTTAACCTAACCAAAAAGAGTTCTTCATAGACATTTCCAAGGTTTGTTTCTTAGGTGATTCTAGATCCTGTCACACTGACAATCAAGATCAACTATCACAGTGATAGTGAACACTTTTTCGTGCGGTTTTTTGCCATTTGTGTAGTCTCCTGAGGAAAGGTCATTCAAGCCATTAGTCCTCTTTTTAAGAAAATAGTTTTCTCTTGTTTTTAATTTAGGTGTATGAGTATATTGCCTGAATGTAAGTGGACCTATGCCATGCAGTGCTGGCAGATGTCAGAAGAGGGAGTTGGATCTTGTGGAACTGGAGTTAAAGATGGCTATTAGCCACTATATGGGTGCTGGGAATTGACCAGTACCCGGGTCCTCCCCAGAAGCAGCCAGTGCTCTTAACTGCTGAGCCATCTCTCCAGCCCCATTAGTTCTCCTTTTAATTGAATAATTTGGACTTCTTTTTGCTGTGGAGCCTTTTGAGGTCAATATATTTTAGAAATAAATGTGTTATTGGATAAAGAGTTTACAAATAATTTTTCCCATTGTCAGTTTTTGCTTTTGTTGCCTGTGCTTTGGGGGCATAGTTTTCCCTGCATTTTTGTCTTTTACTCCTAAGCAGTAAAGTGTTGTCTTTGAGTCTTTGGTCAATTTTGAGTTGATTTTCTTGTACGTAGTGAGAGACAGGGGTCTAGTTTCTTCATGTACGTACCCAGCTTTCTCAGCACTGTTTATTGAGACTTTCCTTTTTCTAATAATACTTGCTACCTTTGCTGAAAATAAATTGGTTGTGAAAATGTGGTGAATTTGTTTTTAGATTTCCTGTTTGGCTCCACTAGTCTGCTTTGAAGTCAGATATGGTAATAACCTCAGCTTTGTTCCTGTTGCTCTGGAGTGCTTTGACTATTTGAGGTCTTTTGTGTTTCCTTATGAACTTTGGGATTATTCTAGTTCTGTGAATAACTTTTTAATTTTCTGAAGAATGTCTTTGATATTTATTGAAATTGCTTTAAATCAATACATTATTTTGGGCAGTGTGCACATTTAAACAATATTCTTCTAATCCACAAGCACAATGGAATGTTTTCCCATGTTTTCATTTTGTCAGTTTCTTTCATCACTGTTTTATACTTTCCTTTGTGGAGGTTATTCACTTTCTTTGTTAAAGTTATTCCTAGGTTTGTTCTTTCATATGTGAAACATCTCATGTAAGTTTCATATGTACATTGTGCACATAGCTGGAGGTAATTTTGTATAATGTTGTTGTGCCTGCAGTTTCACTGTCACTCATTGTGTGAGGTTGTGAGATCAAGTGTGGAATTTTCTACTTGGTGGCATTCAGGATTTTGGAGCAGTTTGGATTAGTGATCCCTAACCTGTATGAACTTTGTACTATCCTCAGCTTGGGGTATCTGCCTGTGATCTTAGAACGTATGCTTTGTGGATGATTGACCTTCCATATGTCTAGTACCATTCTCTTACTATTCTACTCCGTAACTCCATTCCTGGTTTTCTGGAGGAGATACTAAAGAAAGCCATAAAATCGTAAGATGTTACATACCATTAAAAACTGTAAATGAGTCTAGATTATTATGGTCAGTTGTATTAAGCAGTAACCGTCAAAACTTCAAACTGTTGGTTGGGCCTAGGCAGAGTTTCTTTTAATCTATATTAAAAGTCACAAATTGTGTAAATTTAATAAAGACACAAAGTGTTTAAACATCTCAAACATACTGAGCTATAATTCACTGTTACACTGACCATCGTTTTACAGTGTGTAGCTTCATGATTTTTAGTATTTACAAGACTGTACAATCATCATACTAATTTTAGAATATTTCATTATTCCAAAGATACTTCTGCTTCATTAGCTGATGTCACTTTCATTTTCCTCTCACGCAACCCCTGACTACTTTTCCTGCCTTTTTGGATTAGCCTATTTTGGGTATGACATATCAGTGGACATGCACTATGTGTCCATCTGTCTGTATTTTTTCCCCTTCTAATATACCATTTTAGGCTTAACCATGTTGTAGCATGACTCTATTCTATGGCTGAATATATTGTATTAGTTATATGAATATATCATTTTAAAAATCCACTCATCAGTTGATAGACATCTGAACTGATCCACTTCATGAATATCTGCACAGGTTTTTGTGTGAATATGTGTTTTCAGTCTTCTTGGGCATACTCTAGGAGTAGAATTGTTGGGTCATATAGTAACACTATGTTTAACTTCTTGAGAAACTACTGAGCTGATTTCTGAAGGTAACAATTTGTTTTATTTTAAATGATCAAACTTTGGTAAATTATATTCAATTCCTTTATTTTCTTTTGTTTGTTTTTTGAGACAAGGTCTCAGTGTATAACCCTGGCTGGCCTCAAACTCACAGAGATCCTCCTGCCCCTCCCTGCCTCTGTAGTTCTGAGGTTAAAGGTGTGCACGCACCATGCCTGGTCATGATTTAACTCTTGATAGTGGGTTGACTAATATAATAGTTTTTTCTATTGTCAACTTGATTTGATTAAGAATTACCTAAGGCACTAGTGACACCTTTTGCTGTGTCATTTCCAGAGAGGGTTGACTGAATAAGGAATTGGGGTTTGGGGCTGAATAGAAAGGGAAAAGGGAGAAGGCATGCTGATCATTGGTGTGCTGCTTTCTCTGCTTCCTGTTTGGTGCTCAGGACCAAGCCTTGCTGGATGACATGCCTCCCCTGCTGTGATTCACTGCACTGCTTTGAACTGTGAACCAAAATAAACCCTTCTTACCTTAAGTTGCTTTTGTCAGGTATTTGATTGCAGCGATGAGAAAAGTAACTAATACACTTACTGAGGTGCTTAGTGTATGCTGTGTTCACCTGTTGACAGGATAGACCCGGTTTTCTCACAAGTAAATATTTTGGTTCCGAGGGAATCCGACTAAATCCTCTATTAGTCAAGTGTAAAAGGCCAGTTATCAATATTTTGTGTGTATGTTTTTTTCTTTTATTTATTCCTTTCTTGCCTCTGAGATGATTTTCATTAAGATTACATAATGAGTTAATGCAAAACTGTTTCTAAGAGCAGACTTTGAAGCACTGAAAACATGAATGAAAGAAGGAACTCTTACACAGGAATTGTGTCATGAGGGTAATGTAATTGTGTTTATCAACCATCATTTTTTACTGTTATTCTGTCTGGTTAAGTTAGTAAAAAGGGATGCAGCCAATTATACATTTTAAATTTATACTTTTCCTTCATAGAATCAAACTTTTAATAGTTTTATTAAGATAGTTTCTTGGGCGAGTCTTTATATAATGGTATTAGGCAGTAGTCCTAAATAATGCATGGTTCATCTTACATTCCATGACTTTGCTGTGTTTTCAGAGTGCACACACAAGCTGAAGACAAGTTACTTCTGTAAGTCAAGTAGCTGTGTTGGAGAATGAGTTTTTAAAATACTTTCATAGTTTCATTTATGTTTTAGGAGAAATTTTAGTGACTAAAAGATAAAGTACAGATAATTTTTTATTATTCCATAATGCCAAAAGAACAGATATGCTTTTACGTAAACTGTTTCTCTTTAAAGGAAAATATCCAAAGATGTATGTCATCATTTCCTAAAGGTTTTGATTACTTTAGTGAGTCAGATGTTTATGTTTTCTATTGTGAAGGACACAGTTAATCTCAGTTCAACCTCATTTAAGTCCAAATGTTTAACAGGAACCGTGTAAGATATGAGTCAGATTACCAGGCTTGATCTGAAATTTCACTCCTCATCAGCTTTTTCCTCTCAATTACAATTGGCAGTTATTTCAAAAGCTAAACCCCACAACACTTGATGATTTTACAGAGAAAACCTTATAACATTCACAGTTAAACATTAGCAGTTCATTCATTTTTGGAATTAAAATGACCCTCATAGTACTTATGTAAACTAGAACATTTGACTTTGTAACTGTGAAGAGAATAACTCTGGATTATTTTTCTCTTCCAGTGTTGAAATTATAACCTCCTGTGGCAATGAAGAAAGAGACTGAATTTGCCATTTTCATCTAAAGAAAAATGATAGACAGCAATCAGACCTGTACCGTGGGACAGGATTCCATGCCCTATATGACTTGTCTGATTCACGTACTTGAAGAATGGTTGGGTGTGGAACAATTGGAGGACTATTTGAATTTTGCAAACCATCTCTTGTGGGTTTTTACACCACTAATACTTCTAATACTTCCTTACTTTACTATCTTCCTTCTCTACCTTACTATTATTTTCCTTCATATTTATAAGAGGAAGAATGTATTAAAAGAAGCCTATTCTCATAATTTATGGGATGGTGCAAGAAAAACTGTGGCCACTCTGTGGGATGGACATGCTGCGGTGTGGCATGGTAAGGAGGAATGGTGTGGTCTCTGCTGCTGTCTCATCTAGCACTGATACAATGGAAGGGATACTTATAGTTCCTTGTTAATGTGTTTACATGTATTATATGTATGTATTGTATGTATGTCTTTAAGTGATTTTTCCTAAACACTGTTTCCATTACAGAACTACACAGCACTGTAGATTATTACTATGAGCTAAAATATGAAAATTGATACTTAAAGTGTTTACAAGGATATGAGGTTAGTTAGAACTGTACAAGCTTTTCTTCTTTTTCTAGCTTAGCATACATACTAAAGTAATGGCTTTTTTTTTTTTTTTTTTTTTTTTTTTTTTTTGGTCTTTTTGAGCCAGAGTCTTTCCTGTAACCCCAGCTGATCTGGGACTCACTATGTAGACCAGGCTGGCCTTGAACTCACAGAAATCTGCCTGTCTCTGCCTCTGCCTCCCAAGTGCTGGGAATAAAGGCATGCACCACCATGCCCGGCCAAGTAATGGCTTTTATTGTGACATTTTCATGTGTATCTATCATTACACTTGTTCTTACTCACCCCCTCTACTGCCTTTCCCTCTCTCCCTCCCCACTTCTTGCTGTCCTTTCTCCTTCCTAAGTAGTCCTCTCTGTTTCCTTGTGTTCCATTACCCACTTCCCTTTAGACTGCTTCCTGTCTTCATAGTTGTCTATTTTGATATTATTATTATTATTCCTTGCTTGTTAAAGATTTAATTTTTATTGTGTGTGCCTGTAAATGTGTGTGTGTATGTGTGTGCATGCATGTATGTGCATGTGCTTAAGTGCACAAGTCTGGGGGACAGGGGTGCCTGTAGAGGCCAAAAGAAGGAATTGGATTCCCTGGAGCTGGACTTACAGGTGATTGAGAACCATCTGACATTCGTAGTTTGAACTGAACTCTAGTCCTTTGCAAGAGTGGCAAGTGCTTTTAACCACTGAGCCATTTCTCTCGCCCCACTTGTTTAGATTTTTGAGATGAGGTCTTGCTATGTAGCCCAGCCAGCCTGGAACTCATAGTCCTGCTTTTGCTTCCTGAGTGCTGGGATTGCAGCAAGTGCTACCATGCCTCACTAGAATCTTTTAAAAAATTTATTTTTTGATTCACTTATTTTTGTTTTATGTGTGTGTGTGTGTGTGTGTGTGTGTTTTGCTGTATAAATGTAAGTATATTGCATGCATGCAGTGCCCACAGAGGCCAGAAGAGGGCATTGACTCTCTTGGAACTGGAGTTAAAGACCATTGTTAGCTGTTGTGTTGGTGCTGGAAACTGAGCTGAATCCTCTGCAAGAGCAGCCAGTACTCTTAACCACTGAGCCATCTTTCCAACCCAGAAACTTTATTTTTAAAGAAACTTTTAAAAAAACTTTAATTATTTAGTATTTTTTCTATTCAAAATGTTTGATTTTACTAATGTGGAAGTTTCTTAGTGAAATATTATATCATAATAATATTACATGAAATAGAATTGTATACTAAATTTACCCATTTTCTATTTGATTCATCTTAGAGATTAGTGTGTCGTTCTGGATAAGTGAGATAAGCAGTAATTTCTCTCTAGGAAATTCCTTATTATTTGAAAGACTGAGATGTACACTTTAAGTTGGCTCTTTGTTTGGCTGTCATGAAAATTGCCCTCTGGTTATCTGTTTTAATGGACTTGGTGTTTTCCTTGACCAATTTTTACTTCATTTTTCAGCTAATTTTTATTTACCTTATTTGTCAGTGTCTTGTGTTTGGACTATACAAAAATACCAAGAATTCAATTGGTATGTGCCCAAGTCCATTTTCCATTGCCATGACAGAATCCCTGAAACTGAGTAATGTGTAAATGCTCATGATTCTAGAAGTCCAAGAGCATGAGGCATGTCTCTTCAGCTCCCGGTGACAGTCTCATATTGTGCACACATGGCATAAAGGTGGAAGGGCAAGGAGGAACCTACAAAGACGCAAAACATGAAGGATGACTTTGCTTTACAAGAACTGCTGATTAAAAATATTATGAGCAAATATTGGGCGTACACAATGAGATTCACTGAGATGTTTCCACATGTGCGTACATCGTGCACTGCTCTGTCACCCTCCTTCCACTCAGCATGCTTCCTAGTGTCAAAGGTTCTTTAGTCTCTTTCTGTTCCCTCTCCCCATCAGAGGAACTGATGCAGGTCCTCTGCAAGAGCAGTACATGCTCTTAACCACTGGGCCATCTCTCCAGCCCTCACGTTTTTTGTCTTTCTGTTGTTTTACTCATTGTAATGTTGACCAGTTATATCCATGTTGTTGCAAATGACTGGATTTCATTCTTTTTTTAAATGCAGTAGTAAATACTCCATTTCTTAACAACCACATCTTTATTCATTCATCTACTGCATGGCATCTGGATTGAATCTATATTTTAACTATTATGAATAGCACCGTAGTAAGCATTGTGAAACACGTGTTGTTTGGCACGTGGATTTCACCTCTTTGGTTGTGTACCCAGTAGAATTGCTGGGCTGTATAATGAGTGTCAGTAGTGGCTTTTCCATACTATTTTCCATAATGACTGTGCTAATTTACATTTGACAAAATAGTATGTGAAAGTTTTCTTTCCTCTATGTTGTCTCCAGCATTTGTTATCCCCCCCCTCCTCCATTGGGGATTGAACCTAGAACCTCATACATACTGGTAAAGCATTCTATCACTGAGCTACATCCCTCCGTGGTTTTGTTATCTTTCAATGCTAGCCATTATAACTGTGGCGAATGATACACATTGTAGTTTTGTTGTGCATTATTTTGATAATGAGTGAAAGTCAACATTTCTTCATTTACTTGTTGGTCTTTTATATGTCTTCTTTTGAGAAATAGGTCTTCCTGGGCCAGTGGTTCATAATTATATCCCAGCACTTTGGAGACTGAGGCAGGAGAGTTCAAGACTAGCTTGGGCTATGTCGTTACATGTCAGCCTGGGTTACAAAGTGGTTTGCTGCCTCAAAACAAAAAGAAAAAGGGAGAGAGGGAAGGAGGGAAAGAAAAAAGATCTCTAGTTCTTTAGACCATTTTTATTTGGATTTTTGGGGGGTTGTTCATTCTTTGAGCTTTTTATATGCTCTGGATGTTTCTCCTATAAGTTGTTTCTATAATGTTGATTTGCCTTTGCTCTGCAGAAGCATCTTAGTTTGATGTAGTCCCATAGTCTGTTTTTACTTTAGTTGCCATGCCTTTGGGTCTTATCTAAAAAAATTCAAACAGCCTCCTCTTAAGGTAATTTAGTTCCCCAGTAGTAAAAACTTACTTCTGGGAGACAGCATTAATCTATTTGGAAGGACTCTGCCCCATCATCTAAACATCTCCCATAAGGCCCTGTTTCCTGTAACTACTACATTGAGTAATTAAACCTCAACATTTATTTTGGTGAGGCACCAGCCACATTCAAGCCAAAGCAGCATGTGACAAGGATGTAGTGTGTTGTTGAGCTGTAAGATGGTTTCAGAGGACAGACTTTGAGGTAGACACTTTACCCATCTCTGAGGTATAGGCTGCTGTTAGGAAAGATCAACACTGATATGCTTATGAGGCTAATGTGTTGTAATAAATACCACAATCGTACCTATTAATCCATTTTATTTTTTTGAGTCCTTATTCCAAACACTGTCAGATGTCTTACAGCATGATAGAGAGACTTTATGTGCTGTCCTCATTTTACCCTTGAGAGAACAGAGGCTCAGAGAATTTATTTCTTAAGTATTTAGGAAGGAAAATGAGGACACAGTCTCTGACATAGGGCTGTAAGCCCATGCTCTGCATTGTGAGGTACAGTGGCTGCACTTTGGGGATTCAGGGCCCAAAGTCATGGTATTCTGCAGATTTGCAAACAAGAACCATATGCATTGAAATTTTTTTTTTTTTTTTTTTGAGACAGGGCCTCCCTATAGCCCCAGCTGGCCTGAAACTCCCTATCTGGCCTGGATCTCCCTGAGATCCACCTGTCTCTGCCTCCTGACATGTGCCACCATGCCTAGAATGTTTTGAATTTTTAATATTTACTCATTAGAATTTCTGCTGATCAGTTTGAATCTCATGGCCCTTCACTGTTTTACACAAAGCAAGATGATATTTCAGCATACATATGCCTGTCTGCAGAGATTGCATATTGATGGTCTTTGTAACAGTGGTGGGAATTTCCATCTTCCTCCAGTATATACATCCTTTATATTTCAAGATAATGTATAAAGGAATTTGAATTTATTTCCATTTCAGGGGACAAAATATAGGTAAATTGAAATTAATTTATTTTATAGTGGAATTTTAAGGTAGTTCTAGATATGTATTTATGGCTCTGAGGAAATAACATATTTAGTACTTAATCTGTTTTAATGTTTTATGATAAAGTATTTTGTTTTAGTAAATGGTACTTTCTTAAAAGTTGATTTTATGGCATGAATAAAAGGCATTTGTGTCTATATTTGGATTTTGTTTTATTCAAATCAACTTTAATTTATGCTTTTTAATCTTTAGAAACATAAAAAAAATTATGATCTTTGTAAAAATGTAGCAATACAGGAAAAAGCTACCTAAATTGTACTGTGCAAATGAACTTTATTAAAATTTTGGTCTTTTATCATTCTTATTGTGTAGCCATTAAGTTTTCTCATAAATCTGACTTTTAATGACTACATGAAATAATATAAATCCTGTAATTTATTTAGTTATCTATTATTGAACAGTAACTTGTTTATAATGTTTTTACTGTTTTAAATAAAACAATCTTTGTCTAAGAATCTATCCAATATTTTGAAGTCAAACTTTATCCTCAGACTGTTTACTCTAAGATTTTTAAAATTATTCTGTGGCCAGGCATGGTGGCGCACACCTTTAACCTCCAGCATTGGAGAGGCAGAGTCAGGTGGATCTCTGTGAGAACATTGAGGTCATCCTGGTCTATATAGAGAGTTATAGGCCTGTTGGGGCTACAGAGAGACCCTGCCTTAAAAAAAAAATTGTGATTCTTATGTGCTGTGCAACATACTACCAGTATTATACCATGAAGCACTATTTGATGCTTCTTAAATAGCTCCATTTTATTTGGGGAGTAATGAGTCAATGAAGTACGTTCCTTCAAGTTGATAAGCAGCCTTTTAAGTGAAACCTTTTATTCATTTAAAAAAATATTATTTACAGAAAATGAGAGTAACATTCCTAGAAAACTAGGGTCTTGATATTTATTGGCTTCCCTGAAAGTTAATATAATAAGGAGAAGTCCTCAGGACTTTTCTGAGAACTAAAGTGTTTGTATTTTAACACAGTTGTATAGTAATAAGGATCATAATTTTAGAGAAATAGAAATGCTTTATCTTCGGGGGCTTTAAATTTTAGGTTTATTTAGTATTTTATGATTTTATTTTTGTTTCATACAGTAGTTTACTTCATATAAAATGATGTACAGATGTGTATCATAGAAAATAATTTTTAAAAATTCATTATTCCTGACTAAAAATTTGAAGACTAAAAACTACTACAATTATAAAGGAAATCCCTGAAATGTGATTTAGGAAATCCCTAACAAATGTGTAGGGATGAAGTGTGAAGGCAATTCCAATAACAGAGAACTGTACAAGGGTGCTGTTGCCACCACTATTTAATATCCTGGAGGCCTAAGAAGTAGGTCCTGTAGTGAGGAGAAAATAAGAGACTTGAAAGAAACAGACTTATCAATACTAATTAGTTCAACAAGGGAACTAGATGTAAGATCAGCATGTAATTAGTAACTGCCAATATACTACCAATAATCACGTTTAAATAGTTACATTAGCACTGACTGCTCTTGCAGAGGGCCCGGCTCAGTTCCCAGCACCCAAATGATGGCTTACAATTGTCTGTAACTCCAGTTCCAGGGTCTCCAATGTGCTCTTCTGCCTCTGGGCACCAGGCACTCACATGGCGCACTACATGGGAAGTGTGGCTGAGAGTACAGGCAATGCAGCGTACACAGGACATAAGAATAAGTAGATCTTAAAAAATAGTTATCTTAAACCACCATTATGCTCATTTTTTCTTAAATAGGAAAAATTCTATTTAGAACTAAAAATTCTATTTAGAACTGAATGAATGGATTCTTAGAATAATCACAATGTTATTCTATAGTCCACACTCCAAGCTCTTCTATTAATTTGTTGTAGTTCCAACTGAGTTTTCATGAAATTCAAAAATTTGTATTGAAAAATCAATACAAAGGCCAATTTTAAGCCGGGAGTGTTGGTGGTCAGTCTGGTCTACATAGTGAATCCCAGGCCAACCAAGGCTACACCTGTCTCCAAACAAACAAAACACAAACAACCCTCCTAAAACCCCTCAAAAACCCCAAACAAACATAAAAAGATCAGTTTTATTAAAAACAAAACAAAACAGTATTTTTCCCATCATGCCAAGCACATTTTACTAATATTTATAATGATTGAGATTATGGTCTTGGTATGGAGTAAGAATTGTCACACATAGATAAGCAGATCAGGATTCAGAAATGTTAGTAAGTGTCCAAAATATTTTCTTAGACCAGCAGGAAAAAAAAATTAAAAAAACCAAAACTTGATGACTTTGAAGTGAGGAAGGTCTTAAAGCTATTTTAAAGACATAGGATTTTAAATATGGGATAGATCATAGTTTATTTACAGCCTATTTTAGAATATAAATTTGAACTAAGCACATTGACTCATACCTGTAACCCCAGCATTTTAGGGGTACAGAGACAGGAAGATCTTGTGTTCATGACCAGCCTGAGCTACATAATAAGATCCTGTTTCAAAATAATAAAACCAGAAAATAAATTAGTAAGGGGAAAAAATCCATCTTAAAAATATAAATGGAGGGCTGGAGAGGTGTCTCAGTGGTTAAGAGCACTGGCTGCTCTGGAAGAGGACCTGGGTTTGATTTCCAGCACCCACATGGCAGCTATGAACCGTCCTTAACTCCAGTTCCAGGGGAATCTGAAGTCCTATTCTGACCTCCACAGCATTGCACAACACAGGTGCACTCACATGCAGGCAATGGGCTTTATTTGTAGTTGAGTTTAATTCTTTTTTTTTTTTTTTCGAGGACTATCCAAAAAGGTGACACCTTCATATGGTTTGCCATAATACATAGATGTGTAAACTTAATGGCTCAGTGGTTAAGAACACTGGCAGTTCTTGCAGAGGACCTGAGTTCAGTTGCCAGTTCTCACCTGGTGGCTAACAACTGTCCTTAACTCTAGTTCCAGGGGATCCGATGCCCTTTTCTGGCCACCACAGGCATTGCACATATGGGTGCACATAAAATTATGCAGACAAACATACACATAAACTGTATCAATCAAAAATGTATTTAAAATATAACTTGATGATAAATTAGGAAGGATCTGTTTCTTAGGAGATTATCACGGAGTTTATTGTACTGGTAGTCAAAGTAGAAGGCAGATAACCCATTACAAAATAAATCTTTGTCACAGAGGAACTACTCAGGTTTCATGTGACTTGACTTGCAACCCTCTCCCTGGAGGGTACTCTAGTAAAAGAAGTCAGAAGATTGGAGAGTGGTTGAAGAGAATTGGATCAGAGCAGAAGGAAAGACATCTTCACCAAGAAAGTCACATTGAGTACAGAAAAGAGCTGCTTTTAATGGGCCCCAAAGTCAGAACCCACAGATCGAGGCTTCCCTTCCCCGGACAGTGGTTGGATGGTTGGTGACAGTAACTGTCTTTGGGACTGCTTTCTGCATGCTTCCAGTGCACATCAGTTCCCCCACGGCTTGGTGGTGACCCCAAGTGGGAGCTGGTGAGGCTGCACTTTGAAACTGACACCGGGAAGGGAAAGGGATGGATGATAGACTTGAGAGTTAGTGGAGGCCAAATGCAGAACTTGGTGACTGAGTGTAGGGTCTGGGAAGGAGGCATTAAAGTGCAATACAATTTCTATTGCTAGACGGAAACATGGGACAGGAAGTGCCTGAAAGGCAAGGAGGAGCAGCAAACGGAAAATGCATTCATACGAAATGATCCAATGTCTCTTGAGAGCTTAGGACCTGTGAGGCTTGAGGATATAGGGTTAGAGCAGTAGGCCACTGATGCTTTCTGAGTGTGAAGTGTTGGGTATCATCAGTCTTCAAGACTAACACAGTTAAGTAATATTGGGGCTGAATCCTTAGTGGCATTATGGCAAACACCATTTTTGTTAATGACTAGTCTAATTTTTTGTTTTAAATGAGATAATTATATATTTATATAAGTAGTTTGATCATTTTATTATTGTCAGTTTTTGAGACCAGGCCTCACTATGTAGTTCAACCTGGTCTGGAGCTCGCTATGTACACTAGGCTGATCTTGAACTTCACAGGGATCCTCCTGCCTCTGCCTCCTGAGTGCTGGAATTGAAGGTTTGTGCCACCACACCCAGCCTTGTCATTTTATAATGAAAAAAATTTGTTCTGCAAGCCAGAGGGAACCTTAAGAATGTTCTGTATGGAATATCCTCCAAAGGAGTATTATTTCTCAGAAAATTGGTCTGAATGGAAATTGACCGGTTGGGAAACCCCATAAAACCTCAGTGATTATTCAGCAGAGCTTAAAGTAAATTGACTTATTTAAATTAGAATTAAGTGATTTGAAGAAAATAAGTTCTTTTTATAATAAGTTTAATTGGATTTTTTGGTTTTTGTACATGAATAAAAACAGTCAGCAAAGCGGCACATGCCTGTAAATCCAAGCTCTTGGGAGGCTCAGGCTGGAGGATTAAGTATGAAGCCAGCCTAGGCTGTGGTGGCATGATCCCATCTCAAAATGAAACACCACAAAAGACAAAAACAAGAGAAAACAAAAATCCAAGCTACAACCAAAAAAACAAACAAACAAAAAACCAAAAAACAAAACCCATCATATTGCCTTGTTTGGAAAAATGTAAGAAAAAAAATCCTGTATAAAATCAAAATATTTAAACCTAACAGATATTAAAGGTCTACTTGAGCCTACAACTCTACCCACCTGGCATGTGTTCTGGAAACTGCTAGCTTCTTTGACTTTCTGCTGTGCTTAAAGTCAGGAGTTTATGGGCTGTCTGTGGCCTTCTCTTGTTAGAGAGGGAGTGATGTTTTGTTCTGGCTACAGGGTTAATTCTAGCTTTTTTTCTCTGTGTGTAACTCCTCTCCCACCACTGAGAACATGTTATGCTTAACATGTAGACTCATTTGACCTTTTGTAACCAATTTTCCATCATTGTCATTGTCACTTGTGGACACCCTTTTATTTGGCCTGAGCTCTTAACATCCCAGACGAGGCCACGAACCTGCATGGCATCCTCCTCTGCTCAGGCTGCCCTACCCTGGGGCATTCCTTATACAGAGATCCTTTCTCACCACACTAACCCCTTGTGCCAGGCCACTGCTGAGCATGGCTGCCTTCCTTATTTCACTCAGGCCCTGAACCCCGTGTTTACCCTACCCTTGGCTCCTGTCTTCCTCCTGCACTCAGCCTACCACGGTGGGCTAGGCTCCTTCCTGCTTGGCTCTTGTCACACTTCTGCTCTGGCTTTGACTCCCACCCGACAGCCACCACTGCTGGTGGATACCTTGCCCTGCCTGGGCTCCCAGTGTACATTCTGGGCTGCCTCTGGATGGAAATGCCTTATTTACCCTATCCTTTATGAACATAGAACTGATTTATTCCATGTCTAAAGGGAAGGGAAAAGAGAGAGGCAGGAACAGTGGAAACTGGGAAGGCAAAAAGCTTTTGAATGACTGCCTATTCTCAGAATAAACTAATAAATCTATTTTAAGTATCTGCATTTTGTCTTTTGAACAGGTTATGAAGTTCACGGGATGGAAAAAATACCAGAAGGACCAGCTCTTATCATTTTTTATCATGGAGCTATCCCCATAGATTTTTACTACTTCATGGCTAAAATTTTCATCCACAAAGGCAGAACTTGCAGAGTAGTAGCTGATCACTTCGTCTTTAGAATTCCAGGTGAAACTTCATTGTGTATAACAATATAGAAGAATTTAATCGACATGATCAAATTATGTGATAATCTGTCTTCAGTATTGTTTGGAAAAGTGTTTTGTCTCTTTAGGGTAATAAACTTAGAAAACATCGACTTTCAGTTTAGATAATATATCTAAAAATTAAAATATAGCAAAACATCTACTTTTTAGTCTATTAAAAATTTTTTTGATTTATTTATTTATTAAATTTTACGTGTATGAGTCTTTTACCTGTATGTTTATAAGTGTACCACGTGCATGCATTGCCTATGGACATCAAAAGTGGGCATCAGATCCCCTGGAACTGGAGTTAAGGACAGTTGTTAGCTGTCATGTGGGTACTGGGAACCAAACCTGGGTCCTCTGAAAGAGCAGTCACTATTCTTGACCACTGACCCATCTTTCCAGCCCCCTGTTTGTTTTAAAGACAGCCTTGCTATGTTGCCTAAACTGATCTTGAACTTGTGATCCTTCTGCCTCAGCCTCCCAGAGTCCTGGAATTATAGATGTGTGCCACCACTGCTGGCTTTTTTTCCTCCTCCCATCCCCTCTTCTCCCCTCCCCTCCCCTTCCCCCACCCTCCTTCTCTCCCACCCCTTCCTTCCTTCCTTCCTTCCTTCCTTCCTTCCTTCCTTCCTTCCTTCCTTCCTTGATTTCCTTCTCCTTCCCTGCCCTTTCCCCCTCTCTCCCTCCATCCTCCCTTCCTTCGCTTCCTGCCTTCCTTCCTTCTGTTTTTTTGGTAGTACTGGGGATTGAGCCCTAGGGCCTTACACATGCTAAGCAAATCATCTGCCACTGAGCTATGTCATCCTATTTTTTTTCTTTATCAACAGGTACTTAGGGTTTTCTAAGCTAAACATTAAATTTTTTTTTTTTTTTTAATTTGAGCCAGGGTCTTGCTGTTTTGGCCAGACTGACTTTTGGCTTACAGTCTTAAGCAATCCCCTGCCTCAGCTTCCGAAGTAGCAGGCTTAAGTCTTGAGAGAGGTGACTTATTGTGCTGACTCTCCCTCTCCTCTCCCTCTCCCCTCCCTCCCTCCCTCCTTTCCTCCCAAGATGCTGGAGATTGAACCCAGGGCCTTGGAAATGCTAGGCAGGTGCCCTACCACTGATACTGTTAAAGCGATATATACTTTGGTATACAAAGTAGTTAATTTTTTATACTTTTTTTATGAGATAATTATTTTTATAGTTTAATGTTGTTAGAGCTTAATAGTGAATCCAAATTAGGGAAAAAATAGCCAGGATATATTTGTCTTCACCATTATGCTACCCCAAAGAGCATGTATGTTATGTTCCTTCCAATGCACACAGTCTCATAGCCTTCAGCTCTTAAGACTGAGGACAGCATTTAAAGAATCTCTTTATCATGGCTTTGCACCTTTTTAAAAAAATGGTTTCAGATACAGTAGTTATTTAAAAGATTTTTGAATGAACTTACTGAGAATCTTTTCTTTTGTTGCTAAAGCACTAGAAACAAGACAAGAAAGTTGATAGTATGTTCTCTGGAATTATAAAAGCAAAGCTGGCCCATCAACCAGACAGACTCAAATCAAGCATGGGTTAAGTAACGGTCTACATCAGTGCCTTTCAGAAACATGGTTAGTGCTTTAGTATTAGATCACTAAACTCCCATTTGTACTTTGTTCTTAAACTAAATTGGATGTAATGTTTTTCTTAGAAAGAAACATGACTACTTTGCAGATTGGGGAGCTAGAGAACAAAAGAGTATTATAATGCTTCATTTTTAAGTGACATGTTTTCACATATTTATAAAACAGTTGTGTGGGGTTTATTCCCCCTAAAGATTTAAAGTAAGCATTAACACCTTATATTGTCCCTTACCCTAGCCAGGTCTGGGGATTAAACCCTTCTGCATGCTAGCCAAATGCTCTTACCACTAAACTACATCTCCAGCCCAGAATAGCTTTAATATATGACTAAACTGCTTTGCTTTACTATTTTTCTTATGAAAAATGAATTTGCTTATAGTTTTCGCTTTTATAAATAAGAAATTACGAACTTTTTTAGCTTTTTCAAAAAATCCTACTTTATGCTTCATATATTTTGACATTGATTCACCTAATTTAGTCATTTATTATTTTCTGAAGTTATTAAATCACTATGATTTCTAGTTCAAGAGGAACATTTTGCATTTCATCTTGTATTTTACAGAATCCTTCCTTTCACTCACTCTGAGAGCACATCTAGTTAAATCAGTGAGCTTTTCATGTGGGGTAAACCTCATTTAAATATTAATGATGTAATCTCTAAGGCGGGAAGTGAAGTAGATCTGCACAGCTTTTAGCGCCCATCCATCCTCTCTGTTTCAAGCAGTACACACACACTGATAATCTAAAGTTCCAGGGTAGGATTGTATTAAAGTCTTCAATTATGAAAAGTTGCCTTTCACCTATAAATAGGTATAATTTTAAAATCTGTATAATATTAAGGATTGGAATCAGCTGTTCTTGAATACTATCTGTATAAAACATAATGATGTTTGCTATTATTATTAATTAGAAATTTTAGCTATAGAATTACATCACCCAACTTTTAATTTCAATAGGTGTGATTATAGTCTTTGTCAGTTTTGATATGGCTAATTATGTTCTCTGGGGTGATTCTTTCTTACAGGGTCAGTGGAAGAGTAGATTTGTGGGATGGGAAGTCATCTCTGACTGCTTTGACAAGTACTTCAGAACATGTTTGGCTTGAGTCAGTCCAAGGCAGTTAGGACTGGATATAGCTGAATGGGAATCTGTTCTGTTGCATGACTTCAAATATCCCACCTGCTTTCCAAGACCCAAGTTTTGTCACCTGTAAAATGGGGAGAAGAATTCCTGTTGTTCTTGAGTTGTGAGTTTTAACTGAGCTTGAAAATATAGCCAGAGTAAGTAGCTGATCAGCAAGTTGCAGCTACTGCTTCACAAGGGAAATCAGCCTTTTGTTAACCTTGAGTTGTTGACTGGATAACATTTACTGATAGAAGTGTGGGCAGTGAATTGTATAGCTCATGAAGAATTGAACAAGAATTATTAAAGGTATGTCTTTGTGCTCATGCTTTTACAGGGTTTAGTTTATTACTTGATGTGTTTTGTGCTCTGCATGGACCAAGAGAAAAATGTGTTGAAATTTTGAGGAGTGGTCACTTGTTAGCCATATCACCTGGTGGAGTCCGAGAAGCCTTGCTTAGTGATGAGACCTACAACATCATATGGGGTAATCGGAAAGGCTTTGCCCAGGTTGCCATTGATGCAAAAGTGGTGAGTTGTAGAAAAGTGATATTCAAATAAAGCTTGGTTTAATTTCAGACAGAGAAGTGAGTAAAAGCATTTGAGTCTAGATTCTTGCTGTAATAACTTAAAATTATTATATGTAATAGTGTGTATGATATCAGTAGAGAAATATTCCTTGTGCATGAGATGCTATCTTAAAAAAAAATCTGGATAGTTGACAAATATCCAGCAAGGTTTTATTTTACAGTTAAAAATTCAATTTCTTTTTAATAGATTTATAATTGTATACAAATAGCTTCACATTCTTTTAGTTAGACCTTTATTGTGAGTATAATTAGTTCTGTATATTTTAAGCCTATGATAGTTTTGACATGAATGAGTTTGTGTATTTCATTGGTGAATGTTGGTTCAATAGTTCTTTTATATGTGAACAGTTTTAACAACAGGACAAATAATTTGTAACCTGTCAGCTTCATTAAATGTGATTAGCTATCTTGTAGTATAAAGATAAGAAATAGACATTAGTGTAATTTAGATATTTTAAAAGTGCTTTCCAAATAAGAGTCACTGTAATTATTCTGTTTAGTAGTTCAAACAGTGTGAATGTAATTTTGTTTTTTCTTTTTTCTTTGGAAAGTATTTCTTAGCTTTTCATTCTCCATATTGTATTTTAGTCTAAGAAATACTTATCTTTTGCTTATGAAATGTTTCCCTGTTTCTGTTTTCACTTTATTTTTTAAAAAATATTTTATTTATTATTATTTTTTATTTTATGTGTATGAGTGTATTACCTACATGTAACTTTTAACCTGGGTCATGCAGTGCCCGTGGAGGTCAGAAAAGGACATCCCCTGGAACTGGAGTTATGAATGGTTGTTTGCTGCCATGTTGGTGCTGAGAATTGAACCCGGGTCCTCTGCAAGAGCAGTCAGTGCTCTTAACCACTAAGCCATCTCTCCAGCCTGTAATTTTCATTTCATATTACCAGAAAAAGAAATTGCAGTACTTTTGGTAGATTCTTCTCCTTTTTTCAAGCATGATAGGTTGAGACAGGTACAGTAACTTTAACAGCTCAGTTTGCTGTCATATAAAGAGGCCAAACCTTAGTTTGACTGCCCAGCTTTCAAATATGGACTGAATCGTATTTAAAGAGTATTAAAGAAGAGTGAGTATTTTTATATTTGAATTTCAAAGTTCAGAGCAGAACAAAACACTCAGAAGAGCTCCGTGGCTCTTTCTCTCCTGTGCATGTGCATGTGTGCACTATGAAAGGTCACAGAGGGGCTCTCATGGGCTCTGCCTCACAGGATTTGCTTACCTGGTTAGATATCTGAGCAACACTGTCCTGCAATAGATTATAAATTCTGTAAGAACACGGATTGTATATTTAAATCCTTAGTACAGTGATCTCTTTTGAATACGCTTTAAGTACTAGTTGAATTAACATTTTTTTTGTTTTTTAAACACGTATTTTTTAACTCTAGTAAAAAGGAGCATTGGAATTTAATTATAGATTGTGTTAGTAATAAAGTTATTTTATAAATGTTTTGAACATGGACTAAGTAACATGGAATACAAAACATTATATGAAGTTGTGCAAAAAAATAAAAAATAATGCAATATACTAACACAAGAATAACTAAAAATCTAATAAAACAATGGCTCACTTTTCAAGTTTTTAAAAATATTTTATTTATTTTTTTTATTTTATGTGTATGAGTGTTATGCCTCCATGTAGGTAAGTGCACCCATGTCGTGCAATGCCTGTGGAGGTCAGAAGAGGCTGTCGGATTCCCCAGAACTGGAGTTAGCTGCCATGTGGGTGCTGGGATTCGAACCCGGGTCTTCTATAAGAACAGTCAGTGTTCTTAACCACTGAGCCATCTCTCCATCCCCTCAAGTTTTTATTTTTAAAAGAATTGTTTCTTTGTAAAGATGAAGATAGCAAAAGTAGAGTTGAAATTGCATAATTTTATCATGGGATTCTAATTATCCACCTTATGCTGACAGTTTTAACCAGGATATTGCTTAGAAGGCCTGAAAGAGATAACGACAAACAAAAGAACTTTTTTTCAAATTCTTGAGTTTTATGGTAAATTGGCTGATATGGTCTAGATAATTCAATTAAGCTTTTTATATAAAATTTCCAAAAATTTGAAAAATAGCCTTCTCTAATTTTAGAAACAAACACAAAATTTAATGCTGTGAATTTACCAAATAGTATTATAAGTCTGATAAATATTGTGCTAGCCCAACATGGCGGAGCACTTTGGAGGGCTTTATCCAGGTACCCCTGCACAGTGAGGAGTGTTACACAGGAGGAGATTCAGGCACAGAGAGCTGGAGGGATGGAAGGGATCTGGTCATACAGCGTGGCAGCAGCAGAGCAGAGCGCGGTTGAGGCAACACTGCTGTTGCTATTCCTGACTGCATTTCACAGTCTGCTGACATCTAAGACTGAAGGCCTGCCAGAAATGTGAGGAAAAATTTCAGTGATATATATATATAAAAAAAAATATATATATATATGTAGTTGTAAGTGATATGAATATCCTATCTAGAAAATTCCTTAATAATACAAGCAAAGCTATCATAAACTGTGAGAAAATACTTAAAACTTTCATTGCAGGATTTTTAAATTTTTTAAATTTTAAACTTTTAAATTGTGACTACTGAGCTGAGGGTGTAACTCAAGAAAACTACTTGCCTCACATGCACTGGGCTTTGGGTGTGATCCCAAGCAATGTGTGAGGGGGGAGCATGAATAATGAAAAGTAAATTGGACTTACTAGCAGAAATTAAAAGAGAAAATCCAGCTGTCACCGTGGTCACAAAATATCAGCAGAAAATGTCATTTGAATGTGACTGAGAATTACTGCACGTATTACTCTCATTTTGTGAATTCCTGAGAAATAGAATTTTGATATCATTAGGCAACTTCACTTCTGGATTGTGCAAAAATTAGCCCATTTAATTGAAACTAAATAACAACTATAAAAGAAAAGAACACTTGTTTCAAAATTATTTATTTGCATTATCTCACTTTATCTATAGACTCTTTTGAGATAAGGATAGTTATTCCCATTTTTGACATGAAGAAAGTGAGACTTAGATTTGGTAAGCACCTTATTTAGTGGTTCCTATATTTTTGGTAGCAGAAGCAAGACTTTAGAACGATATTAAACTAGTTCCCCAAGAGTAGTTTTTATAATGTTATACACATGTGTATGTATACAGAGACCCATGCATATGTGGAAATAATAAACTGTAGATTATTTATGCAATTGTCTTGTATAGAAAGGTATACAAGGAAAGAGTTATCCAATGATTATACAAGATCAAGTTTTAAAAAGCTAGTGCCTTTGTCTTTAGGGGTGTAAACTTGAATGCGAAGTCAGAAACTATAGACCCAGAGTCTGACATGAAGACTGAACCAGAGAGGGCAAGCATTCTTCTATGAAGTGGATTCTAGAAATGTTTAGTCTCCAGAAGTTTAGCTAATTAAGGAATACTGCTGAACCAGAATTGTCTTCATAAAGTACACACTTCACTTAATACAGACATTTGGATTGTGCCCATCTGTAGACATAGTCAACAGTGCTGGTCAAGGGAGGCACAACAGCGTATTTGTGAGCCAAAAGTGAAATGCCTTACTGGGCATCCCAAAGTTCTCAACTCTGTAATATACCTATTTGAAACATTAGGACTTCAAGCCATTATTTCATTTTACAAAATTTGTGGTAATTTCTTAGATCATGTTCTTGTATTTTTACAAAAGAATCCAGTGTCCATTGCCTTCTTTCTATGATAGCTTCACAAATTAGCCCATCAGATTGAAAATTCCTTACCTTTGCTTACTTGACTTCTTTTCCTGATTTTGAGGTTGCTGCTATTTGTGACCTTTGTATTTACAGAATATAAGTGAGGTCATTTTCTTGCTGTTTACCCATTCCTTTTTAATTGCTCATCACTTTCTTTTACCACATCTGTTCAGGTACTGTTATAGGTGTTAGGGACACAGAAGTGAACAAAACAATGTCTATAAAATATATTAGGTTTCTTCCTTCTGCTAAGAGGAGAGGTGCAAAAGTGACCAGTTAGTTAACCATGAGGTAATAGGTTTTATGAAGAAATCTACCCTTTTTTCTTTCTTTCTTCTATCTAGGACATCCTCTAAAACTCATTAAGAAATACTTAAATAAGATGGCTGTGGTGGCATACACCTTTAATCCCAGCCCTCAGGAGACAGAGGCAGGTGGATCTGTGAGATTGAGGACAGCCTGGTCTACATAGAGAGTTCCAGGCAGACTGGGACTAAGGAGACCCTGTCAAACAACAACAAAAACCCAAAACAAAACAAAAAAGAAATACTTAAATATCCATTCATTTATCTAAAACCCAGGTTGTTAAGTAGGTAGTTTTATATTAGGCATGTATAAATAGTTCTGTAAATAATATGGTACTTCACATATATGTACAAATACAGTTTTATCTATTTTAAAACATTTAATTTAGTATATTTGTCTATATGTGAAAGTATTTTTTCAGTTTTTAATATATTTCAGTATTTACAGTGGCATAATCTTCCCATTTGATTCCTCGTTATTTTACGGCATTTAGCTCATATTTCCATTTCTTCAAATCACACTTAATCATTGATGCTCATGGAATATCCTCTAAAATTAATGATGTAAAAATCTTTATCACATACACCTTTCCTTTTGTTTGAGTCTTATACTTACTGCTTATCGAAATTGAGCACTTTAAATTTAATGGGCTTACAGAAATGCTGTGTGGCTAATTCCATGGTACCATCTTGCTGAAACCTGTCATTTAAATTTACATATACATCCTCTTAGAGTCTGCATATTGTAACTTCTTCAGTGAGTATATTACTTGGGAGCCCAGTAAAACCAATTTACCTCATTTGTTTTATTTAATGATTATTATAATCTCTCTTTTGAGTTTCAAGGATTTATATATAATATTAAGAAAATTAGTAGATGAAATATTGTATATTACCACTAAAGGGTAGTATTTCCAATTTGTACTTTTATGAATGAGCAAGTTGAATTTAGTTTGATAAGTCACAGCATTTTTGAAATCTGTCTTTAGAATCTCAAATATGTCCTCAAAAATTAAAAAATAAAGAGTATTTGCCTTAGTGACATGATGGAGACCTTAGATGGATTTATGTATTTACTTTTTAATTCAAATTCTTTTCTTTAGCCCATTATTCCTATGTTTACACAAAATATTCGAGAAGGATTTAGATCACTTGGAGGAACAAGTAAGTTCTTATATGGTTTTAGTTACAATGTAATGTTTAAACATGGCTTTTTGAACTCTATGAGGAAAACTTTTGAATTATTAATTTTAGAAAATGGATATTACTTAGATACTGTTAATGTATAAACTCTAAGTGATAACTGGTTCTGAGTAATGACAATTACTATTTTGGAGAGGTCCAGGAGTTGAGACAGATCTTACCATGTAGCCCAGGCTGGCTTCAATCTATATCCTCCCAAGGGCCAAGTGCATATTATGTTTTTGTTGAGTATTGTATACATGCTAAACCTTATTTGAATGGACTTTTATGTGGTGTTAAACTGTGTTGATGAGATTTATAACAAAATTAGATACTATCTTTTAAATTCAGATGAAGAAGCTAAGCTTAAAAATGGATACCCTACATATTGAACTAAGATGAACAACCTAGGAGAGGGAGATGTCACTTGGTTTGGTTTAGTTTGTTACTTGTTTTTTATTTTAGTATTTTGAACTATATTTACATTGAAGAATTATTTTATCTATCTTCAATATATTAATCAAAATAAACTTCTAATCTAGTTAGAGGAGTAACAATTGCATATGTATTTTCTTTAAATATTTCATTTTGAAATGTCCTGTTTTGAGCCTATGGTTTGTATATTCAGTTGTCATATTTTATATCCTTCTACTATTCTTATTGTTACTGTTTCTGTCCATTCATAAGTCTCCTTTCAGCAAGCATTAATTTTCTATTCTTTTATCTTTTCACATATTTAAAATAGAAAGACAGATTGGTATAATATTTAACTTTGGTTTGGAATTTTTTGTGGTAATAAACCAGAAATTATTCCAGGAATTTTGTTTCTGTAATTATAAATTAGTTTCAAAATTTTATTGCTTGCTTTTTTTTTTTTTAGTATTATGTTAGGTGTGATGGTATACTTTGTATTTCTGTATGTAACAAACAATGTTTTGAGCCTTCAATATAGCACATGACTATGTACCATGAGACTTACCTTTTTATATTCATTTGATGCTGTTTTGTAAATATTTTATTATTTTTATATTTTGTGTATGAGTGTATTGCCTGCATGTATATAGGTACAATGTCGCAGAGGTGGGAAGAGGGCATCGGATTCCCCTGGATCTGAAGTAATACATACCATATAGGTGCTGGGAATTGAACCCAGTCCTCTGCAAGAGCAGCGAGTGTTCTTAACTGCTGAGCCATCTCTCTCCATCTCCCTTTGATGCTGTTTTTTATTAACATTGTTCAACTTTTTTTTTTTTAGTTTTTATTTTTTTTAGTCAGGGCCTTACTATGTAGCCCTGGCTAGCTTGGAACTCACTACTTAAACTAGGCTGGCCTCAAATTCACAGAGAACCACCTACCTCTGCCTCCAGAGTGCTGGGATTAAAGGTGTGCACTGTGGGGATTAAAGGTGTGCACTGTGCCTGGCTATTTTAAAATTTTTCTTTTTTTTTTTTTTTTGTCATTTTGAAACAGGGTCTTCCTGCAGTTCCAGCTGGTCTGGAACTCACTATGTAGACCAGGCTGGGCTTGATTTCTCAGCGATCTGCCTGCCTCTGCCTCCCAAGTACTGGGATTTAAGGTATGGGCCACCATGCCTGGCCAAATAATATTTAATACTGCTAAGTTTCAGACCTAGGCATCCCTATTTAACAATAATGTTTGCTGGTCTTTATGTAGTTTGTCAGTGCATTGTACCCTCATGTTTGCATAAGCCTTGCTTTAGCCTTACCCATGTTTTTGGGTTTTTTTGTACATGTAAACCACTTACGTCGAGGCTCTAGACAGTCTAACTTCCAGCTTTTGCAGCACTCATTAGGCTTTGGTCAGCAACAATAGGAGATGGCTTGTCTCTTCATATTCTCATATTTAAAAGATCTTACTTGTTCCTTTAGTGAGTATACTTAATTTGCCTTTTCATTTGAGTACAAAGTGTAGTGTAATCTGTCCCTTTAGCAGTCTCCAGATTCTGTCATTAGCATGCTGCGCATGTGTGCTGCATATGTTACAACTGACAAAAAGTTCACCTTTAAGAACAGATTGTGCTAGGGATGTAGTGTCAATCTGTAGCACAGAAATCCTGAAACACAAACAAACACAAAAATGTTCATTGCTAAGAACTGATATTTATTTGCCACCTTCCTGCAAGTCTTGTGTAATTAATTTGAAAGTTTACAATTATGCACCTAACATAATTATCCAATAAAAATAGTTTTGTTTACTTTAAAACAGGGCTGTTTAAGTGGCTTTATGAAAAATTCCGCTATCCATTTGCTCCAATGTATGGAGGTTTTCCAGTGAAGTTACGGACCTACTTAGGTGACCCCATTCCATATGATCCAAAGGTAACAGCAGAAGAATTAGCTGAAAAGGTAAATTGGTTTTTCTTCCTTAGTCTTAGGAAGGATTTTAAAAAATTATTTAAAATTTCATTGTTCATATGTTAGATGCCAAAATTCTCAAATCACGGTGATTTTGCCCCATAGGAGACATTTGGCAAAGCCTGATGGCATTTTTTAATTGACATGAAGGAGTTGGGATGGGATTGGTACTGCAGACATCGTGTTTAGAAGGCAAGAATAGGATTTATAGGGACCTGCAGGAAATCTAGGAATATGTTTCTATATATAAATTTTTGGAAATAAGGACTGGAGTTAGGGAAGAAAGCCAGAATTGACTGAAGACTTGAAGTCATGAGCTTTGCAATGACTATTAAAGCCTGAGGTTTACAAGACAAAGAGGTAGGAGAACAAGAAATTGAGGTGTCAGGGTTAGTGGGTGAAAATTTTAAAAGAGTTGGAGCAATCAGCAATAGTTCTGCAGGAGGTCCAGAATCATATGAAAACAGTCTACTTAGCTTGCAATTATATTCTGTTAAAATATTTGACTATTTTTATTTTATGTGTAGGAGTGTATTGCCTGCATGTATGTAAGTGCACCTGTGTCATTCAGTGCCCACAGAGGTCAGAAGATTCCCTTGGAACTGGTGTTACAGATGGTTGTTAGCCACCATGTAGGTGCTGGGAATCAAACCCAGGTCCTCTGCCAGAGCCAGTCCTCTTAACTGCTGAGCCATCTCTTCAGCCCTGTAATTATAGTCTTTTTTTTTTTTTTTTTTGAGACAGGGTCCCTGTAGCCCCATCTGGCCTGGAACTTTCTGTGTAGACCAGGCTGGCCTCAAACTCAAAAAGATCTGTGTGTCTCTGTCTCCCAAGTGCTGGGATTAAAGGTGTTCGTCACCACACCCGGCTTGTAATTATGTCCTTAAAGAATAGAAAACTATTCAGAGAGCAATAGATATTGTGGTATTGAATTACTTATAAAAAGGATGCATATTTCTGTTGCTGTTGGTTTGTGATGCTGGGCCTTGCTCATGCTAGGCAAGCTCTCTACTTCTGAGCTATATCCTAGGTGTGAATGTGTTTTGATTATAACTTTTATACCAGCCTTTAATATATATACTCGTCTGGTTTGTTTAAAACATTTAAAATTGTGTTGAAAATACCTATACTTGCCCAATATGGTGGCATACATCTTCAATCCAAGCACTTGGAAGGTAGAGGCAGGTGGATCCGAGTGAGTCTGAGGCCAGCCTAATCTACATAGTGAGTTTCAGACCAGTCAGGGCTGCATAGAGAGACCTTGTCTCAAGCAAAACAAAACAAAGCAAAAAGATGTAAATTTCTATCTACCCATTTTAAGCATATAGTTCAGATCTGTTTAGTACATTTACATTGTTGGACAGCAGATCTGTTTTTTTTTTTAATGTTCCAAAATGTATTTTAAGTTTTATTAAAACAAAATATGGTGCTTTTTACTGAATACTTTTATAGCTTTTTTTTTCTGATTTTAATTTTATAGAAAATCAGAAACTGAATGTTGTGTTTTATAATCCTAAAACCCTAGAGAATTACTATTAATATTGGGCTAGTTCTGTTTTACTTTTGCTTTGAGACTGTTATACTAGATTAAGTCTTTCACAGTTGATATGCTTTGTAACTATTTAGACTGGTTCACTGATACTTCATCATGAGTATCATGAGTACTCTTGGGTTTTTTTTACCATGTTGTCTCCCAAGCTCTCTTGGGGTCTCTTGCGCTATCAAGCAAACCATACAACATATGTTTATGTACATTTATTATTATCGTGGGGGGGAGGAGAGGGGAGTAACAGAGGAATGAGTGCCCAGTGCCTAGCTCCATGCCTCTGGCAGCCTGGCTCAGAGCCTGTAATATCAGACCACGCCATGCCCATAGTCACTGCTAGCATTTGCTCACACCTCAGAGGCTAGCGATCTCCCCCAGATCCATAAGTGTTGGGCCATTCTGTCTGTGAGCTGCGCGTTCCCCATGCCATGGCTCCTGTCTTCTGTTCCAAGAAGGCTCCCAGCAGCTCCTCAGTAGTCCACGCTCAGGGACAGGCCCTGCCCCTTGGAGGAACTAGCCAATTGGGAGACACATGCAAAACTGAGTCTGCACCAATTGAACACCAACTTCCCCTTTCTCCCTCCTCTAAGCCCCTGATAATCACAATTCTACTTTTTTCATCCTGGATTTGATTTTAGGTACCTCATGTGATAGAACATTTAGATTTTGTCTTTGTGATGGACTTTTTTCACTTAGCACAGTATCCTGAAGGCTCATCTATTTTGTAGCATCTGATAGGATTTCCTTCACCTCTAAGGCTGAATAATATTCTCTTTAGGTATCTACCACATTTTCTTTGCCAGTTCATCTGTTGGTGTACATTTAAATTGTTTCTGCTTGTTACTAAAGTGGGATTACTAGATTATATGGTAATTTGATTTTTAATTCTGAGGCATTGCCAAGCTCCTTTCCACAGTGACCATTATCATTTTACATTGTTTGTTCTTATTTTTCTTTAATTAAAATTTTATTTTTATTTATTTATACTTAAAAATTTTTCTTTAATTCACTTTATATTCTTACATAACACACAAGTTTTAATTTCTCTGCATCCTTACCAATGTTTATTGCCTATTTGGTTTTACTTCTAGTAGTGGCCATCCTAATAGGTGTGAGGTCAGAGCTCATTGTGATTTTGATTTGCATTTCTTTCATGATTAATGATACTGAGCATCATCTTTTCATAGGCTTCTTGGCCATTCGTATGCAGACATTTCCTTAGAGAAATAAATGTGCTCAAGCCTTTTGGCTAATTTTCAGTTGAGTTGTTTGTTTACATGGCAGAGGGAAAAGATCAGGATTCGAAACATGAGGTAGCCCTTGAAATTTCTGTTTGGAAATGCTCCATGGATTCCCATTGGCATCTTATTGGCCAGAATGGTCACACAACCACAGATTTTTGTGAGGTAGAAGCTGAAGTCCTCCCATGGGGATGGCCTGTAAAAGTGGGCCTGGTAGGGAGAAGGAATAAATAATACACTTTCTCATAGTTAGACTTAGCAAGCTCAGTCACTTAGAGAAGGGCTCACAGCCTAAGCAGCTACAGTGGTGTGGGGTTGTTCACATGGAGCAGTTGCTACTGAGTTTCAAAGGTAGCAGTAATGATGTAATGTGGGGCCTTATTCTCCAGCTCTTCTAGTGGTTCATTAAGTTCATTCACAGTTGAGCTCCAGTCCCTGTCTGAAAGTCAAACCTTATGATACTGACTTTAAGGCCAGGACATGTTCCCCATGTAGTGTGGCTCATCTTCCATTCTGAAATGGTGACTCCCTAAGAGCTTCAAGGGCTGCAGCTGAGTCCCAACCCTTTAAAGTTACCTCTGTCCCCACACTTTGTTTATATAATGAATTTCTTTGCTGCTCCCTAACAAATGTGTGTTCTTGAGACTATAACTGAGTTCTATAGTTCTTCTAACTTTTTTCACTCCTTACTTTTTAGGAGCTAAGTGGGTCAGAGCTAGTCAGGATGTGTTCTTATTTTTTAGGTCAGAATACAAGGTAACGGGGCTGGAGATTGGCTCAGTGATTAAGAGCACTGGCTGCTCTTGAAAGAAGACTGGGTTTGGCTCCTAGCACCTACATGGTGGCTTACAACTATCTGTAACTCCAGCTCAGGGGATCAGCATTCTTCTGACTTCCATGGGCACCAGGCTAGGTGTCAAGGTCCTGATCCTTGCTCCACTAGGCAGCAACATCACCTTAGACAAATGATATGTCTTTGTGTTAGGCTGACATTACTGCACTGGAGTAGGCTTAAAGAATATGTGCACACACACACATACATACATACACACACACATACACACACTGAGTAAATAATGTAATAAAAAATTAAATATAGAAATAAAAACTTGTTTAAAAATGGGTCATAGACTGTTCAGGCATGTTGCTCTGGAAAAGAGTCATTTTCTTTTCTTTTATGCTGTGAATATATCTCTTAAAAAATATTTTTATTGTTCCAAAGTGAGGCGATTTTTAACACATTTTTCCAGAAACAGTTTGAAGCAGGTTACATCAAAATATATATACAATGAAGTTTAAGGGTGGGAAAGTAGGGATAAGAAATCAGACTAAAGCCAGATATGGTGGCACATGTCCTCAGTCCTAGCACTTGGGAGGCAGAGCCCAGCAGATAAGAGTCATTTTCTAAATATCATCTAAATGTCAATTAAGATATGCTCTAATAATGTTGAAGATGGCACTTGAGGTTTTCTTGACATATTCTAATTGATTTTTCTATTGCTGTGATTTAATCACAATTCTCATCAAACTGTAGAAATTGAGGAATGAACTACAGTGTGTCAGCACATTCCTTCCCCCCCACTTATCTGTATCATGTTGCCTGATACAAATATGGAGTGTATATGATGAAGGGAAGACATTAGTCCTCATTAGCCACTAAAATGAATTGAATGTTCCATTTGCCTTTTAGAAATTTCCCACTGTTCTTTTTCTTCCTATTTTTTTCTACAATTCATTTTAGTTTGTATCATATATAAATAAGGCATTGCTGTGTTGATAGAGAAATATTAAGATGTATTTTGACTAGCTTACAGGTAGGTACAGAAAATAGCTTAGTGGACAACAACTGTAGTCAAGCTTTTTTAAAAAGTGGGCTGGAGAGATAGCTCAGTGATTAAGAGCATTGACTGTTCTTGCAAGGTCCCGAGTTTGATTCCCAGCACCCATGTGGCAGCTAACAACTATTCATGATGCCTTTTTCTGACCTCCGTGGGCATTACATGACATGGGTGCACCTACCTACATGCTGGCAATACACTTATACACATTAAAACAATAAATTTAAAAAATTTAAAAATATTTTTTATTTATTATTTTTATTTTATGTGTATGAGTGTATTGCCTGCATGTAGGTAAGTGCACCCATGTCGTGCAGTACCTGTGGAGGACAGAAGAGGCTGTTGGATCCCCTGGAACTGAAGTTATGGACAGCTGTTAGCTGCCATGTTGGTGCTGGGATTTGAACCTGGGTCTTCTGCAAGAACAACCAGTGTTCTTAACCACTGAGCCATCTCTCCAGCCCCATAAAAATTTTTTTTTAAAGTGTAAAAATATGCTATATGTGTACTGAGAAGAAAACCACATATTCATCCTAAATGGAAATGGGGCCAACACATGGGAGGATGTTTTTCTTTTTTTAAAAAAAAATTCTGCATGCTAGGTATTTAACCGAGAGCCTTGCATGTGCTGGCCAGGTGCCATAGCACTGAGCTACTTTTCCAGCAGGGGAACTTCTTGAAAATAGCAGTACATAAAAATCTTACAAGAAGATTGATTTCTATTGAGAGCTAACCAGCTTTTCTTTTGTTTGATAAATAGACCAAGAATGCTCTGCAAGCTTTGATTGATAAGCACCAAAGGATACCAGGAAACATTATGAGTGCTTTGTTGGAACGCTTTCATAAAAAGCAAAAGGTCAACTAGAAGACAATTTAATATGTCTACATTAATATGTTCATATCTTTGGTACTGTCTTTTAAATTTTTAATAGGTTGTATAGTTAATGTTTTTAAAAATCATGTTAATAAGCATTTTCTTAGAACTTGCTTAAATTTATATGGTTAATCTTGTTTTGTAATTAGTTGTGTCAAATGTAATCAATAACTCATTAGTTGCTTAATCAAAAAATGATGTTTCATTTATCAACCTTATTAATGCATGTAAGAATAAGTTCTTACAGTTAAGGTTTTTGATAACATCAGTTTAGGTTAAGTAGACATTCCTAAATAATGCAATAGTACATTCCTAATTTCTGTATCTGATGTACTGATGTGTTTCTGAGAGAACATGGGTGTTTAGGTATACCACAATTGCTTAAATTATGCAGCAGATACTTTTATCTGCCCTTAATTACAGTTCCAGCTTCAGGTAAGCTGTGGAATATTTTTGTGCCTCTGTTTATCTTTTTAAAGCATGATAATGCTGTGGTGAAGAATATTATTTTACATTGCTTATATTTATTGTGATAAATAAGTGCTGTGTGAAAACCACTACTGAATTAATGAATCCCCAAATCCTTTAGGAGTTATGTATATATTTTGTCTCTTGAATGTTGAAATTGCCCCTTCAGGTGTGATGTCCAGTTGCCAAGAACATCCAAAGAGATGTACTCTTATAAATTGAATAATTGTGACTTGTAGTATTTATTTACTGAATTGGTATTCTAGTATTTATTTTTTACCAAGTGTCTAAGCAAACATGGGGTGTGTTGTGAGCCCTAGAGAATGGCATTTTATGATGGAAGATAAAAATCATTGTCAACCTCTGCCTGCATCGTGTTAGAAGCTGATTCTAGGCTGAGGAAATAAGAAAGCTCTGGTTTTGTTCAGTAATTGTGGCTCATCATTTTGACTTTGCAGCCAGTCAGGTGGCTTATTAATTCAATAAAATATACTTGAATGATAAATTTCTGTAACTACAAAGCCCTCTGAAAATTGTAATGGCTTTTGATTTGTTGTCCTGGAAAATTGATTTTAAAAGTGTTTAAAAGTATGTTAACAGAAAAACATCAGAAATCTATTGCAGTATCACACTTTCCCTTTCATACGTATTAAAGTATTTGGGTTTTATATGGACTTTTTAATTATAAGTGTATATTTATGATATATAATGTATATCAAAATAAAGCATTGTAAAAATAAAGTGAATTGTAATTCATTCGTTGAGAAATTGTGTGACATTCCTATTTTAAACTGATACTTCTGTTTGTTGTACTATTTCTCAGTAGTCATTCCTTTTATCTTAGCCACAATGAATAAAACCTACATTTCCATGTAGTGAGTATATTTCAGAGCCAACTGCAGTAAAAGGCAATTTTCTTCATTCTTTTTTTTCTCTCTAGCAGTGAACATTGGGTCAAAATTGTTAAATATATCCTGAATGAGTGAATAAAAGATTTTAAAGTGAATGAGAAAAATATTTTGGGAAAATAGTTTTAAAGACTAAAAAAAAAGAGTGTCATTTGTTGTTAATGTAAGCAAAAGCTATTATTTTATAGCATGTAAGTTTTACTGTTCTGCTTAAAACCATTTTAGGGTCCCTGATACTGTCAGCTTCCCATCTTGATCAATAAATCTGTATCTTTGCTGCTTGAACTTAAATCTACCCTTTGTAAGATTCAGGGAATGTGGCTCAATCTAGAAATGAAAGTCATGACGGAGAGGTGGGAAGAGAGTTTGGCCTGTTTTAGACAGTTGTGTCAGCTGGATCCTGATGTGAGCCTGAAGGGACGCTTTCCAGAAGCTTGACTCTGGCATGCTTTGCGGGGAGAAATTTCATACCCTTTTTAAAAAACTTGCATTTTGAAAACACAATTTCAAACATACAGCTTTGCAGTGATAGTGAACCCTTTACCCACAGACACCAGTTGTTAACCTGTCGTGTTTGCTTTGCTCTCTTCACACACCCTTTGCTCTCTGTCTGTTTGTATATCTGTCTTTTTTTCTTCCAAATCACCTGATAGTTCATTTTAAATACCATGCCCTTTACTGTTTTGATGACCATGAGGTCACACATTTACAGAACTCGAGAGCAATGATCAATAAACCAGGAAATTTGTCATTGGTGTAATACTTTTATGTACAAACCATGTTAAATTTCATTCATTTTCATGGGCCATCCAGATGGCTTAGGGGTAAAGGCACTTGTGCCAAGCCTGGCAACCTGAGCTCAGTCCCTGGAGCCTACATAGCGGCAGGAGACAACCAACTACTGCAAGTTGTCCTCTGACCACCACACATGTATGCCTTGGCTTCTTGGATACACACACATCTACACATACAAAATAAACAAATGTAATTTTAAAGTATTAGGTTTCCTTAGTTTTCACAATCGTGTTGTTTATAACATTTTTCTTGATTCATTGTCCATAGTAGAATCACACATCACACTTAGTTTTCCTGCCTCCTTACTTACCCTTTGATCTGGTACAATTTTTCAGCCCTGCTCTGTCTTTAACATACTGAGCATTTGGAAAGGAGGGATGATTTGTTTTATAGATAAGGCCTTGATTTGTTTTTTTTGGTGACACTTCATCATAATTGGATTCAGGTTGTTTACTACTCACACCTGTGACATACAGGATGCTGAGGCTTTCACCGTCAGGAGACATATGTTGGCTTGTGCCATTTGTAGTGGTGATTAACTGGTCGGTTAAGACAATGTAAAGTTAAAAGAAAAAGCATGTGCCAATTTCTTCCCAATAAAGTTATGTTTCTCCTTTTAATCAGTATGTATATGTACAGATACTTTGAGGTGATCTATATTTCTGGCCCTCAGTAAACTTTTACTTACTAGGTTTAGCATCCTTTGAATTAATTCTTGCCTGTATAAACTGTTTCAATAGAGTCATTTTCTAACTTGTATTCTATACTTAATAGTTGACAGTTTAGAAGGAATAACCAGAGGTTGGATCAAGGGATTCATCTTGTGTTCAAAGAGTTATATATAAACTTTTAAGAGACAACCTGAGGGGGTGGGTTCTGATCTCCATCGGTGGAGCAGCTCTGATCTCACCAGACCACCAGAGAGTGCCAAGTTCTGGCCTCCCTCTGGCCTCTCTCTGACAGAGGGGCTGAGAACGCAGGGGACTGCCCGAGAGCCCCTGTATTCTGCCTCCACATGGTGGCGAGCTTCTCCTAATTGTGCCATACCCATCCCCCTACCTGGGATTTTGTGAGGCCCCTCCCAAGGCATCAGGGCAGATCTGGCTTTGGTAGGCTGAGGCTGAGATTCTAGCAGACAGCCAAAGAGGGTGAGTTCCGACCTCCATTGGTGTAGCAGCTCTGATCTCAGCAGACCACCAGAGAGTGCCGAGTTCTGGCCTCCCTCTGGCAAAGGGCCTGAGAATGCAGGGACTGCCTGAGAGCCCCTGTATTCTGCCTCCACATGGTTGTGAGCTTCCCCTAACTGCACCATACCCAACCTCTATCTGGGATTTTGAGAGGCCCCTCCCAAGGCCCCAGGGCAGATCTGGCTTTGGTGGGTGAAGACTGATATCCTCGCAGACAACCTAAGACTGCCTGAGAGCACCTAGATCCTGCCTCAATGTGGTAAAGGAAGCCTGAGTGTACCTGACTGGAACCTGAATTGGGCTTCTGTGGGTACTCTTGAATAGCTGATCTGAAGTCGTTAGTTCCCTCCAAATTAAACCTGAGAGAACCTCAACCCTGTACCACAGATTTACATAACCAATAAGGTATCTAGGCACCTGGATAATACAAGCAGAAGCATACTTCAACTTAATTCTCACATCAGAATCATAAACAACAAAAGAAATTCACATGCCAAAATCACAATGAAAGAGTAATAAAATGGAAAGCCAAAACACCATGTCCCCACCAAACTCCACCAATCCTGTAGAAGAGTTCTACAAGGAGAACACCCTAGAGATAACCCAGGACTCTGAATTTAAAAGAACAATAAAAAATATGATCAAGGAATTCAATGAATTTAAAGAACACACGAACACACAAAGAACTAAAAGAAGATAGGGATAAACTTCTGAATGAATTCACAAAACATAGAAACATTGAAGAAAACCCAGGCAGAAGTGAAGAAGGACAATAAGCCAACTTGAAACAACAGGGGAAAGCCTCACTGCTAGAATGAATGAAATGGAAAACAGAATATTAACACTGGAGGATAAAGTTGAAGAATTGGACCACTCAAACAAAGATTATGGAAATTTTTTAGAAACACAGGAATGGAAAATGCAAGAGATGTGGGGCACCATGAGAAGACCAAATCTATGGGTCATAGGAATAGAGGAAGGAGAAGAATTTCAGATTAATGGTGTTGACCAGATCTTAAACAGGATTGTAGAAGAGAATTTCCTGAAATTAAGGAAAGACAGCCCCATACAGATACAGGAAGCACATAGAATACCAAATAGACAGGATCAGAAAAGAAACCCCCCATGACATATCATAGTAAAAACACTAAATGTACAGAACAAAGAATACTGAAAGCAGCAAAAGATAAACAAGTCACATACAAAGGAAAGCCCATCAGAATTACAGCTGACTTATCAGTGTGAACTATGAAAGCCAGAAGAGCCTATAGCAAGGTATTTCCAGTTCTACATGACTATAGATGTCAAACCAGAATACTTTACCCAGCAAAAATGTCTATTATAGCTGAGGAGGGAAGAAAAATCTTCCCTGACACAAAAAGCCTGAAAGAATACATTTCCACAAAACCAGCCCTTCAAAGAATACTTGAAGAAATACAGAGAGCAGAGACAGAAAAACTATACCCCAGGGGCAACGAAAGAAAATAAAGGTATAATCTAGGAAACACAAAATTAGAGACTACAAACAACAATCAAAATGATGGCAACCAATACGCATCTTTCAATAATAACCTTAACTATCAATGGACTGAATGTCCCAGTGAAAAGACACAGGCTAAGTGAAAGGATTAAGAAGCAAAATGTGTATCTTTGCTGTCTGCAAGAAACCCATCTCACCTTCGAGGACAGGCACTACCTTAAGGGAAAAGGATGGAAAAGAATATTCCAAGCAAATGGCACCAAGAAACAAGCAGGGGTTGCAAGTCTAATATCTGACAAAATAGACTTCAAACTGAAACTAACCAGAAAAGAGATAAGGAGGGTTACTTCATTCTGATCAAAGGAACAGTTAACCAAGAAGATATTATAATCCTTAACTTATATGCACCAAACTCTGGTGCACCCAAATTCATAAAAACAACACTACAGGACTTTAAGACACAGATTAACCCCAACTTGGTAATATTAGGGGACTTCAATACCCCACTGTCTCTATTAGATAGGTCAACTGGACAAAGAACAGTGATATGTCTGAATTAAATGATACCATGCATCAAATGGACCTAACAGACATCTTTTAAATATTCCACCCAAGCACCAAAAAATACACTTTCTACTTAGTAATGCATGGAACTTTTTCAAAAATTGATCACATACTGGGCCACAAAACAAACCTCAACATATACAAATAAATTGAAATAATCCCATGCATTCTATCAGACCACAACGCAATAAAACTCAAAAGCAACACTGAACAAAGCCCTAGTCACTACATGGCGTCTGAACAACAATTCCTGGAATTCAACAAAAAGGACAATACAACACAACACAACTGCTGGAACACTTTAAAAGCAGTACTGAGAGGGAAGTGTATAGCTCTAAGTGCCTACATTAAAATAGAAAGAGCCCAAATAAATGACCTTACACTGCAACTCAACACCCTGGAAAGGCAAGAACAAATGAAACCCAAAACCAGCAGAAGAGAAGAAATAACAAAAACCAGAGCAGAAAAAATAGAAACAAACAACAATAACAACAACAGAAACAATACAAAGAACCAATGAATCTAAAAGCTGGTTCTTTGAATAGCTAAACAAGATAGACAGACCCTTAGCCCAGTTAACCAAAAGAAAGAAAGAGCAAATTCAAATCAACAAAATCAGAGATGAAAGGGGAAACATCACAACAGACACTCAAAAGATCCAGACCATTATAAGGGAATATTTAAAAAACATATATGCTGCCAAATTTGAAAATCTAAAAGACATGAATGGATATCTAAAATCATGGGAACCACCAAAGTTAAACCAAGAAGAGATCAACAATTTAAACAGATCCATAACATATGAGGAAATTGAAACAGTAATACAAAGCCTCCCAACTAAAAAAAGCCCAGGTCCAGATGAGTTTACAGCAGACTTCTACCAGATATTTAAAGATGACCTCCAACCAATACTACTTAAATTATTCAAAATGATAGAAACAGAGGGAGACCTCCCAAATTCCTTCTATCAAGCCAGCATCACTCTGATACCCAAACCAGGTAAAGAAACAACCAAAAAAGAAAACTATAGACCCATATCCTTAATAAACATAGATGCAAAAATTCTCAACAAAATCCTTGCAAACTGCATACAGACACAAATCAAAGAGATCATTCACCATGATCAAGTAGGCTTTATCCCAGAGATACAGGGATGGTTCAATATACATAGGTCAATAAAAGATATTAATCATATAAATGCAGTCAAAGACAAAAACCACATTGTCATCTCAATAGATGCAGAAAAGGCTTTTGACAAA